CATGATTCTACCACTCATTGCATTTTTGTTGCGTGTAACTCCCAACAGTGCTCGATTTAGTCCTCACCTTCTCTTTCAAAGCGCTCCATCAGATTATTGAAGCCAGCAACTCTTTGGCAATGGTCAAAAGCATAAATCCAACTCGGCGTACAGAGTGCTTTAAAATTATGAGCATGTGGGAATCATAGGGTAGATTGGAACCATAAGAATCCTTTCCTAACATGGGTTAGCAGCATTTTATGCGTTAGCTGTTGAGGATAGGTGAATTCACGTTTTGATTGAATTTCATATGCACTGTTACCAATCTCTAAAAGTTCCCACTCTCTTCAATACCTTAGGGCCGGAAGCTACTATACATTCAAGGTAACCTGGAGATGCTATTAACCTTTAAGTCATCCTTAACGGGACAATTTTTATCGATGAGTTGTTTTTCATGCACGCTCCATCATTGTTGTTCATTGTCTTCATTCATTCTGGAATGGCTCATATATGCGCCAGGATGACAAGAATTGTAAGTAGTTTCTGCTTTCTAGTTGGCACAGTAAAGCACAATTCCAACATCTCTACGAAATGGACGGCAAATTGAAGCGTCTACTATGATTGCGAACCTCTTGCAGTTCGTATTTGTAACATTTTAATTCCAAAAGGTGGTGTTGGAATGCGTGGTAATGAACCTCCTAAGACGGCCATAATTTAGACGGTTTCATAAGCAAGAACAAAGTCGCAGACGTTGCGGCGTAGACGCAATCGGTGTAGGACGAGTTCAACATTGGTCCCCGTGACTGGGGAAAATCTGCACCACGTCCACCTTACCGGGGTGGCGGTTGATTTCTGCGTGAGGCCAAGGCCACCCCCAGTATTAACTGGTGGGGTGAGGAGTTTCAACAACACCAGAGTAGCGACTACCAGATGAAACAGCCAACTAGCGAATTCGTACGTGAGACAGCTGCGGTTCAAGCCTGGAATTTCACTTACCTATCATTCTCCACATTGTCACGTTTAACAATTTCAATAAATCATAAAATCACTTTTCGCTTATTTGCTTCTCCTACTTCAGCGGGACAGACATTCAACTTTCTGATTAAACTCTTTTAGCTTGCAAACCAAGCAACTATGCTCAAAAATAATCAGATATATCCTCTTATTTCACAAGGTTAACAAATAATGGTGAAAATGATTAGGTAATGGACCATCAGTGGTGCAGCTAAAGATTTTGAATGTCGCGCATACTCAATATCAGTCACGTTCATTTACTCGTTTATTTTTCGAATGAATTACCCCTATGAACATGATTACCTGATTTCTACAGTACAATAGTACCATCACTCCAACTGCAATAAGCTATAATCCTCCAAACACAGAGTAAAAATTTTTCCAAGCCATTTTATATCACACCGAATTGCATTCACTTCACACTGTCCAAATGACTCGTTGTTTTCAATGGCCCCTTTCCATCATGTTTTGCGGATGTTTTGACATCAAGGAGCCGGTAGGGTTTTAAGTAGATTACTTCATTCCTGCTTTTTCACAGAGTCCAATGGTTAGACAATAACTTAGATCAGCCGAATAATTTATCTAATAATAACATCAACACCATTCCCTCACTATTTAAGTTTAGTTCTCTTTTAAAACTTACGAGAATTAAAAAAAATAGTTATGTTAAGTCTTGATGAGTCGTGAGCTTCCTAGATTAAAAAAATAGATATGTTCTGGTAAGATTAACTGATATGGAACACGTGTTTACCCAATGCAAGCTTATCAGCCTATCCAAGCCCCCAGATTAGGGTGAGCATACAGAAACCCCGATATCCAATATCGAGCAAGTGCGCGCAATGACCACAACTCAGCGACATCGTTGATTGGTGACCGCAATACTTAGCCAATCATCACAAAGAGCGCTGGAGCTAACGTGCGCACATTAACTGGTCGCGTGGCGCAGATTTCCCGTGGCGAGAGGAGGAAGTGTTTCGAATCACAAGAACGTCATGTCCATGGAAGCTCCGCATGCTTTCTACACCAACAACTCATCTACTGAACAATCCGTAAGTATAATTTTAAAATTTTGCGTAATGTAATTGAAGGGAAGCTTTCTAAAATTTATCGCTTTTATCCGTCCTCCAAACTGGTTCCAAATCTAGATTTTACCTTGTTACATAGCTATGATCGATTTGATTTTAATTTCATTTTCATTTTTTTCATTTTTCCCACTTTTTAAATATCATCCTTCAATGTATGCTTATTGTCTTAGCCAGGACATCAAGTTGCATTTAAATTGAAGTAGTTAGGATGTCGTTTGTACGAATTACAGGTCCAATTCGCCATCTGTGACCACATTTTTTATGGTTACATTAGGTCAGGAAAATCTGTTTCCCATAAGGATCTAATTTGAGCATTTTGAAATGAGATTATGAGTCGTGTGGTTTGAAATTGCATTCAAAGGTTGATGGTATTAATTCGATGGTTCCACAGACTGTCTTTTTAAAAACAAATATCTAATCACCTCTCGGAGCGATTCGGTTGATGGTACCTAGTTTTACGGACCAGTGGTTGGTTTGACGTGAGTTAACTTCAACCGTTGGGCCATGCATGCCACGAGTCAGTTAAGGGCCGCCTATTCTGTGATCTTTGGGAGTTTACCATACGGAGGACTGGAATAGATGTGATAAGGGTAGGTCATAAAGAAGAAGTAATGAGAAAGATTCTGTGGGAGAGCTTAACTACATTTATCATCAACACAGACTTAGTAAAAATTGGGCCACTTCCGTCCTCTGTTGGCAGGGCGTCCACAGATGCCACCTACTGTCACTCAATTGTCAGTACTCTTCATCCACCTTTCCATCCATTTTCCTTCGCTGTCTGCAGAGATTGAATGGTGTTCATAAGGGATTGGCAGTACTCCTGCTGACGCACAAAAGACAACATTTTTAATGGGACCTACAAATGTTTTCAGCAAGTGAGATTATTAAATTTTCCTGTTTCGATTACACTCTCCGTACACCAAACTGTTTTCCGTAATTACTTTATTACTTATGATACGCACATGCTTAATTTGATGAAGATAAATTCAGCCCTCCCTTTTTATCCATTGAGGCAAAGTCACAGACCTTAGGGTCCGTCGCAGTTCTATCGGTACAAATAAAACAGAACTGTCTGCATCTTAACTGTAATACGGTCGTGTTTCGATCTTATTTGGTGCTACTGCTACCAGGTTTGCCGGCAACTTCACACATGGTTGCTTACTGACTCTTGACTCCATGGCTTGCATGACTCAACAGAAACTGGTCCCATAGAGTTTAATTGAAATTAAGGCAGACAAGGGAGGTAGTGCGGCTTGAAACCGTGTTGGAATGATAAATAGAATTGCCTGAGTTGATCAATGTCTATCTAGCATACGTGTTAATACTACAGAATCAGCGTCGTCACGGCTGCATGCCGACAGTCGCCATACCGTTTGCTTTAAGCTGTTTCCAGTAAAATCTGCATTCTGAAGTAAAAATCCAACATATCGAGGTCTATTTCTTAAAATAATGGCTATTTAAATCTGGGATCTAATTCATTTAGTTTGAGGTCAATAAATTCGCTGACTACCTAACAGAGATTTAAGCTGTTTTCCACCAACCAATTCATATGTTTTAAGAAAACTGGTCAGGCTACGACTTCTAAAATCCATTTACTCAAATGAAATAAAGGTAATAGTGAGTGATCAGATAATGGAGTTTTGGGGTCTTCGCCTCCCACTGAAAGGAGGGGCGGTGGTGGAGCAAAGGAGAAGACCGCCAGATAGACATCACATCCACCTCCCTTTCTTCTCATCCAATCAAAGAGCGAGCCTCGTGCCGCCACCCAATGAAATTCGCGTTGGACGTTACCGCCTCCAACCGGAAGTTTGCAGAGATGCTTCACTTTGATTGCAGAACCACTCAAACTCACATTTTACATCTATATTTTCCGTTCGAAAAAAAAATAGGATGAGGGACGCAACCTTACCGACCTAAGGACTTACCATTATCTTCCCACCTACCTTTTGGCAATTCAGGCAGTTACTCAAGTTTAAGAGGGATCAGTCGTAATCATAGAATGATTTTTTGAACACAAGCCCCACTATTCCCTAGTTTGATGCTGTAAAATAGCAGTTAAGTATAAACTTGCATTTTTATTAGGCTTTTTGTCAACCCATTCTTATCAATTCAGGTTTTGGGAATTAGCTAGTTTGAGCACCTTTGGTACCTAATGCAGAGAATATAAGACTTCTGGCATTCGTAGGAAGTTGATGTACATAACGTTTCATCGGTGAATCTCACCAAACGAGAAGCAAAGGAATAAAGGAAAGGCGGGGCACGGGAATTCAAGAGTAGTTTTAGCAAAGGCTCAAGTATTTAATTAATTTTTAATGGACGTTTGCCAACATGGCATTGATTGCAGGGCGAAGGTTTTAATCTTTTTATTGGGCTTTTCGAAGGTACTTCATAGTGTAATAGCAGGACAAGTTAGAAGTTATAAGTATTACACAAAAGAACAAAACTTTTTTTCTTTTGACTCACATGAACCGGGTTTTGGAAAATACAAGCTCTAGTGTATTTGACCCAACTCAAGTGGCGCAGTAATAGTGTTATTTAGGGTAGAATTAATTTACAGACGACAGGAGATTTGTTTTCTACTCGTCTACTTACTTCTAGCTGGCATTGAAGGATTTCCGTTACAGATGCCAATCGGATCGCCAGTCAGAATACAGAATAAGAGGGAGAGGCAGGTAGGGAGAAGGAAGTGGTCTTGACGAAATACACCACCGGAACACCGATTTCCATCTCTACCGGTCTCACTTGCACACACGTGATAGACAGAGCAATAGATCACATAGAACGATTAGAGTTATGACACAACTTCCAGCATCTCTTGCTGCTTTAGACACTGCAGTCAAACCGCCAAATAATCCCCCATTATTTATTTACTTAAAGGTACTCCACACCCCGACCAATTCTCTCAATTCGTTCACAGAGTCATTGATACAGACTCCAACACTAAACAAACCCCCTCGTGGTCTTACTGCCTGCGAAGAGGGGAGCATTTCGGAAGATGTGGGACAATTTTCAATTTCTTCCTCTTCAGGCTCTGCGGAGCAGAGCTCAGGGTTACCACTACTACCACCACCTCCCATTCAGGCAGAAGAATTTGGAACTTTAAGGGAGACTGCGGTTTTTGCCCCTCTGAGGGACACTACTCACCCATTGCCAAGTGGAGAAACGTTTGATGCACCAACATTCCACTTTCACCCTAGTGTCACCACAATGCAGTGTGAAACGTCGGCGTTATGTGGCTATCATCAGCCACCAATTCAACCCCCTCAACCGCCGCAGTATTCTCCATTATTTTTTTCCGGATACCCTCCTTACCTTCCCACCTCGCAATCGTCTTCACAACACGAGGTACAAATGTCCCCACAAAGGCCAGATGTGCACCACCCTCCCCTCCATGCGATCGGGTTAGTCAAATTTATCAAAGCTAATGCTATATAGCAGTAGATTAGAATGGAATGTGAGGTAATAACAATATGTCACTGATGTTAGAGCAATCATCGATGCATACATTTTCGATCGCATATGTACGTATGTCTAGTTTAGTTTCAAATGTTATCATTAAGTCTGGCAGGCAATTTAGGCGCCCCAAATCTATTTGTAGCAAAACTGTCGGTACGGACAGGACGCAGCCATTCGAGAGCTACAAAGGAGATGAAGAGGATGAAGAAGGGGAAGGGAATGACGGAAGGACAACAGAGACCGGAAGAGGGAATGGAAGCGTCGGTCGTCGAAAGAACGTCACTCGTGAGAGCACTTCCACACTTAAAACCTGGCTTCAGGGTCACATGAATAACCCCTACCCAACCAAGGGAGAGAAAATCATGTTGGCTATTATAACCAAAATGACCATCACCCAGGTCTCCACGTGGTTTGCAAACGCTCGGCGCCGACTTAAAAAAGAAAACAAAATGACCTGGCTCACTTCCAACCGCCCCGAGAATGAAAACAAACAAAACCCCTCCTCCCAACCATCTTCTTCAAATGTGGTAACAGGGATGACGTCTGCAAAGCTAGAGCAAGAAGAGGAGGTGGGTGAATCCGGTGATGAAGGTTATGGCTCCAATCTCTTTGCTTTTCACTCAGCTGTCCAACCGTCTTGGATTAGTTTGGACCCCCATTGGCAGCAAAATTACTGCAGCGGTGAGTCAACATACCGCTAAAAGTTTGTAGTGTTCAGTATTTATTACTAGCTAGATTAAAATGTGACAGATATGATGATGAATTATCAAATTTCTTTTGGACTATGTATGCAAAGGAACCCTTTCACCCCCAGGTATTATCCTTGTGTGTAGCGACAATGAAGCCGCCAGTCGGAAGTGAAACGTTGGAAACAGGAGACAGGAGATCTGCGCATTCCTACGAGGGAACGCAGCAGCAAAGTTCATACACGTGGAAGGACATTACTGCAGTGACGAATAGCCCTTCAACTGCTTTTCCTCTCCCCTCGCAGTACACATATGATGAAGTCTTCCACCCGCCTCATCACCCATTGACGAAGCAACTAGGCATGGAAGGTCAGCCTTTGCCACTTCCCACCGCCCCTGGCTTGCTCGAAGAGGAAGTGAAAAGGAGAGACCCGAGAGTTTAAAATGACCACCCATGAGATAATGGTTATCATTCATATCTGTTTCAAGTATCACGATAGAAATGCAACTTCTTTCTGTATATACCCATCTACTGTGGTGTGTTTCGAGACATCGACAGTACTCCACTACGTATTCTTAAGTAGAAAATTAAATCGCGCTTGCCTTCCGTTTTGCCGAATATAATGTGGCAGGTTGACTAGCTTAAAAATGTTGGTGACACTGCAAAAGTAAAATAGGCATGACATTCAGAATGATCAAATGGAAGCGCAAAAGGTCCAGCAGAATGGAGTTTGCACGCAAAGGCTGAGGAAGGCATGCTCTGCTCGGATTCTCAAAACAGGCTCGAGATGTGGCAAAAACCATTAACCTTGTCTTAAAATTGGAGAACATCCATGTAGGAATTATGATCTCCAAGGACTCCTACATAAATTGTGACAGAGAAGAGATCAGGTGCATCAGCCACCGTTAATTCAATCAACCGCGCCCCAAGATGCCTTTAAAAATCCACCTTGCGGAGTGGACATAGGACGTAACGACGGTCATTCGCCCAGAAGTGACCATTTGTTGGCAAAGCGGGTCTGGCGCTACATAAAGTCAGCAGAACCTCGCACCAACATTGTCGATGAGGATTCCCGAAGTGAGCTGGCTCAGCCTGCAGTGAGACGCAACCCCTCCACCCTTTCCACGAGTTCCGAAATTGTATGAACTCATCAACTCTCCCCGCTTAGGTGACTATCCCATCACCATAACTCACCACTCCCTCCACGTCTGTCAACACGCCTTGCATTCCTGCGTGACTTTGACAGCTAGACTCAAACGGCTGAAATTCTGTGAAGACCCAAATCCAGCAAAGCACTAAGGAAAGCCCATAGCCCTCCTATGGACAATGTGCCCACACAATAAATAAACTCAGACACCATAAAGACGCAGGTGTAGAATTCTACCAGCACCCAGTACTTACCTCATATTGCCGCCTACAAGCAGAGAGCTCTATCAAAACTCTTAAAAATTAAACCAAAAAAAGCAGAAGCAGAGAAAGACATATTCAGAGAAAAACATCGCGGGCTCGTCTGATAGCTTTGATACAATAGGGAAGCACTATCACAATACTAGGTTTCAGCTTCCCTCCTTCTGTCTATTCCATCATCCGTGGCATTATTATTATCATCATCATCATAGACCTTCCGACTTCTTCGCCGTCTTTTCTTCTTGGTTTGATTGATTTTTTTAAAGTTCACTCCGCACTGATCATCATTGTTACCAGCAACCTCGACGGAATTGCAGTGTTGAGATGTGTCTTCGAGTGCAGGAGTGGGTGAACTTTCAGATGGCTCCTCAGAGATTGGCGCTGTACCGGAGATCAGTGTAGACGAAGATGATGGCACTGACTTTCTTGAACCAGCGAGAGGACGTGCCACTCCGATGATCTCAATACAATGGCGGTCCTTTGCGTGTTCATCCAGAGCTACTGTTAGACTGTGATAGTTCTCTGGCTCAATCACTGCCGACTTGAATGGAAAAAAATGGGAATAATATAACAGACGAAATACAAACCCTTCAAGAACAGGCTGGCGATACACTCCAAGCAATTTAATCATTAGTCACAAGACGACTCTGCTATGCCTTAAATTGAAGAATGCAAGATTTTTTTGGTGTAAACAATGGCAGGACGGACCTTTAACAACATTTCGTCAAACACATTCAAATGTTACATAATTTCAAACCTGAAAATATGGATATAAATGAGATCTACCAGCTCAAATATTCCTTCCGCATTACGCTCTTGACGTATAATATGATGAACAAGCTTAAGGATACGTGGAGAAACAGCATCCACAAGCTTCGGATCAAGAGATATCAGAATTTCCATCATAGCGGGCGCAATCTTAAAATTCCCCGAGGCTCTGAGCTGTCGCATGACTTCGAGAGCCTAAAGTGGAAGAAGTCAAGCATCTGTTACTTGTTGTTTCGCAGTTTTCTTCGGTTGAAGATTCACGTGACAATCCTTCATCATTTTCTCTATCATTGTAACCGTGTAGGCCCGAGAGTTCTCGGGATTAAAACACCTTTCAGAAATGATTTTAGCAACATCTCTAAACAGATTTTCGTTTTCAACCTTTCGTTCTTTCACAGTAATTTGCATCTCGCCATCACTTAGGATCTGAACTAAGGACATGGGAAGAGGAAATGATGTTACGTATGATAGAATCAATATCTTCTGTGTCGAAATCTCGAAAAAGATCTGACTTCGTAGCCAACTGTCCTTTAGACACGTTGGAAAAAATCTCATGAGCCTGCAGTACTTCATCAATATTTCGCTCACTGAAAGATAAAGTAAATGCGTCGGACCTTACAGTTTTTCGCGCCATGCTTTCACCTTATTCGGATAACAAGCCAATTCATACCTATTGCCATTCCTTTTTAATCGAACAACAGAAACATTAGTTAACCGTTTCTGATTAATGGGAGTGAACAGAGACATTGCGAGTCGGGCTATTTCAAACGGTACCGCTCAGCTAATCTATTAAAACCAACGAGAAGGGATTATGCATAAAAATTTTTGAATAGTGACAAATTGCGTATTTAACACTTGTAATTTAGATTTTTAAAATATGATTTAAGCCAAGACCTAGTTTTTGCATGTTTTTCTTGAATATACGTATTCCTTTCTGCCTAATACCTTCTTATACCTAGTAGGAAGTTTAAGAATGCAAAAATGAGTATTACACTTAAATTTATTTCCTCCTTTTACCCGACTTATTTTCCCTGGCCCGCGCGTATAAGGGCCAGACAAATCCTAAAATAACCACCAAACGTTCGGCAGTCACATAAGCAAAGCATTACACTGCCCCTCTCTTCTTTTGAGCGACGTCCTTGGCGCTCCCCTTTGATACATCTTCCGCACCAGCCATCACAACATATTTGGTACTACATGAATGCACCCACGAGCCAACCGCGCCAGTCAACATATAGCATGAGAGTGGAGAACCATACCTGGTCTCCTCGGCAAATTCAACTGAATCTGATATTATGCTTGGTCTAACAATCAGATTCGGGACCGCATACATCTGTTGACCATCTACTGCTTCCAGGACTAAATGGTGGAACTCGGGTCTAAAAGAGATGTGTTACAGGAAAACACGGGATGAGCCACTGTCCCATATGTAGGGAGAACCTTGGTGTCATTTTCCACACCTAAACACGGATTTTGTATGAGAAGTTCCGACGCGAAACTTTTCCAGATAGTTCACGGCGGTGTCGCTTCAGTTGTTAATAGCTTGTCTGTAGAACACGGGAATAATGTGAAACCAAATGCAGACGTCCGTCTAAATCCTTTCGTCGTGAAGGTATCAGGGATTCTCCGTCACCAAGGTAAATGCGCCTCCTTCAATTCACGTCCCCTTTTTGCCTGTATCTTCATCTATTGCACTTCGATAGAGTGAGATTTCCTTCTACGCATGTATAACTCATGATTGCTAGTGTACAACGCCAAAATGCGTTTAATAATCCTGGATTTCCTCACTAAAAGACAGAATTCCTTTGTAGTCTTGTCCGATGGTTGGATTATAAAATTTAATGTCGGGAAAAGAGAGGTTTTGAATTTCCGGCCGAGGGAACCCGATTTTTGGATCCAACAGATTATCAGGCTTATAGAGCATCGACATCAAGAACAAGCGACATACATCTCCAGATCCTGTGCGATTTGTGGGTACCGAAGCATTGCATCATCCGGTCGAAGCATTGCTCGTCGGCTTGTTCGCACTGTTCTTTTCCGGAAATCAGTCGATTAATTGGCAAAGTTTAGCAACACAAAAGTATGATGTCAGTAAGACAGCGGTGTCTGTTGGGCAATGAATTTTCCCCGACATTGTCACTTTTAACAAGCGACCAACGAGGAACAAGCCAGAGAGAGAGACTCCACCTCAGCTAAAAGTCGTTAGAAAGAAAATGTCAGATGTGATTTCCGCTGCCACCAGTGTAGCGTCCTGAGACCTCCTAACCGGTATAAGAAGCCACGATGCTTGGAATTACCGTTGTTAATAATGCAATTTTTTAGAAACTATTGGTAAAGTGCATTCCAATGGGGACAAAGTAGTTAGGTCTGAGCAAGGTGAGACAAATCCTAAAGTGGCCGCTAAACGTCACGGGGTCACAGAAGCAACGCATTAAATCTATGAAAAATGTTCCAGTACTGCATAAAAACGACTGCTTTGAGTATGCATCAAGAGGCAACAATTACCGTAATACTTTTGTTATATGACAATCTAATGTCTAACGGTTGCTCTGGTATCTGTCTTGCCCCGGTAGACGCCGCTGACCTTTGGGTTTAGCCAAGTCCCAAATGTCTTCTCCCCACCACAGAATAGGTGCAGCCAGCTCAAATTAATCCCTTCTGCTACTTAATAGGAAACCTCAGGTTGCTGCATTAGTGGCAGCAGAAAGCAAACTCACATTTTTAACAACTTCTATCTTGGTATCTAACGTTTGTAACATATATCAGCAGTGTAAAGTAAGAGCATGTAATTTGAGCTGAGTTCATCTGATGTGTTTACAACAGAAGGCTCGTTAAAGATTTCTGCGTTCGGCTCCACCTTGGCTCTATTTTCTACAGAATAGACAATTACAGCCAAAAAGACATCGTCTTAGAAAGTCCGAAAAGAGTCGTATAAAAGTCTCTTTGATATATCCACGCATGCATATCAGAAATTACACTATTCTTTTTCTCTTACATATAGGTCTCAACTTCATTTCACTACTTTTGCCAAATATCTGCTTTAGACTGTTGTACCATCGTCCAGACCTGGACACGATTTATGGTCAAAAAAACATTTTTGCAGTTTTTGTCTTCGGACCTAATGTAACTTCAGATCCAGTTTAAGTTGATGAGAGAACCAAATGCAATCCCTCTGCTCCATGGTGACTGATGGCTGGGGCGGTTAGTTCGTGGGTGTTTTCTTGTAGCATCGGATATGTCAAAGAAGGCACGGGAGGCGTACCAAGGTGAGCGGAGAGGACGCTGCTCAAAAGGATGCATTTCAGCAACTGTACTACTTTGTCCATGTGACCACTTGACGTTTGACGGTTAGTTTAGGATTCGTATGGCCTTTGCGCGCGTGAGCTGACCTTTGGGCCAAGCTCAGGAATAGTCTCTTTGTGCACCTTAGAATGCATGCATTCAGCTCGACATACCATCCTCTTCAATCCGGTGACTTTGATTTTTGTCTTGCTCTTGTACGCGTGGCCTGGCCTCCGGGTCAGGCAAGGACCCAGTCCCTTTGTAATATATACTAGCAGAGATGCGGGAACCAATTCGAAAGCGATTCCAGTGGGTGAGGATCATGAGGATTACTTCCCCGAATGACATCTATTTTCCGACGCATCCATCCTCCCCATTTTCGTTCTTCCTACACACGATGCCAAAACCAGCTTCCGCAACTAACCCTTTCCTGAAGTCCGAGGTTAGAGGGCATGAGAGTAGGCAGGCAGGCTCTACACCCTACTTTGTCTCCTATAATACATCTATTCAACTCAACTTATTGCCTTCTTACACCTGATTGGAAGTCGTGAGACTCAAAAATTACCGTTGCATTAATCGAGTACTTTGTTTTGTTTGGATTTGGATGCCAGGTGGTTCAATAATTCAGCTGTATTAAAACGCAACTACATGCCGTATAAACTTAGTCATAATGAGGAATAGCCTCAAATCCGATGTCTTTGGCTTGGATGTTACAAAAATGCGTCACATACAGAAAAGTTTTGCTTTAACTCATATTCATTTTACACATGTGTTAGTTTGTGTGCGTCAGACAGAAAGTGCCTAATTATTGCCGAATTTCGAAATCTTTAGAACTGTCCAATAGTATTGCGAAGCCAATTTCAGACAGTGGCGCATGCCTGCGATATTCTGTGGACGGGGTCTACTTTATGCCGAAGCTTAATGATAGGTACTCGAAAAATTTAATCTTGAATGAAAACATTGCTCATGCTACGTGGTTTGATATCATACATCAGTCGATATTTTCAGTGCTTACATTAATTTAGTCGTCGAGCGGAATAGGGCAGACGTTCTTGACGAAACCTCCTTTGGTGTTCATGGTCTATTGACATGCCTGGAAAATATGTTCTACAGTGCACTCAGAGGTAAGTTCTCAGATGTTTCGATCTTCCTAGATGACTTTAAGTTCCGGAAAGATTGGAAACTGTGGCGTTGGATTGCTCATAGTTGTGAGAATATGCCTCAAAGCTGTGTTGGCTTAGTCAATTCGCTGGATAATCTCCAGAATGGTCTTGCAAAGGTGTTTAAAAATTTACTTCGAAACCTTGCTTATCTGGATTTGTTTGTTCATAGGTTGTTTATATTTACCGTCTTTCGATGTTATTATGATCGTTCTCAGCTCCGTGCCTTTCTGCGACTTGCTCTGCAATCTAAGCGTCTTCACGTATATCTTGATGTTTTGTTCAATTCTGCGGAATTCATAAGGTAGGCTACTGT